TCCCTCGGGGTGGAGCGGGAAAGCGCTGCTTGCCTTGCCCTGAGCCGTGTGTCGCCTTGCAGGGGCCTGGAGCCATGGCTGAGCACATGATGATGTCCATGAGCCACGGTGGTACCGGGCTGCAGAGCTACCGCATGGGGGTGAGCGGGCTGCAGGGACCCCCGCAGCACGGGCAGCATGTGCTGAGGACACTGCCTACTGCCGGCCAGATGATGCCCTATGGAGGGGCTGGCATGGATGGCACGATGAGGCCAAGACCCAACCTCAGTGGACAGATGGGTCACCACCAGATGCAGAACGCGATGATGTTCAATGGCCCAAGTCAGCAGCAGCAGTACATGGGGCCGGTGGGCACCCAGCAGCTCATGGCCAGCATGCATCTACAAAAACTCAACACCCAGTACCAGGGCCACCCGCTGGGTATGAGCAATGGGCCCATGGGAGCCAGTGCCCAGCAATACAGAGTGGGGCCGAGCCAGCACCCGGGCATGCAGCATATGCCCTCGCCAGCGCTGACCTTGAACGTTATGGACACAGATCTCATAGATGAGGAAGTCTTGACATCCCTTGTTCTGGAACTGGGGTTGGACCGGATTCAGGAGTTGCCAGAGCTCTTCTTGGGACAGAATGAGTTTGACTTCATTTCAGACTTTGTTAGCAAACAGCAGCCCAGTGCCATCAGCTGTTGAGGTGCTTTGGGCTCCTCCTTGTGTCTCGGTGGTTTTGAGTTTGTTTTAACTTCCTTCTCCATCTGCCGTCCTCCCTTCCCCTGTCTTGCCCTGTCCTGGATTCCTGACCTTCCCCAAAGAGACAATCATCGGACACTGGCTTGCACTGGATTGCTTTTCTTCTGTGTGTTTTTTGTTTTGTTTGTTTTTTAATTGGGGATTTCCTGGGGAGGGGATGTGTACCCCAAGCAGTGCAGATCAAGAGCTCTTCCTGCAGAGCTGCCTTTAAATTACATTAACAGGACTTCTGGCTTAAGTAGAAAAAAAATGGACTTGTAACTTTCCATGACCCTGCTTTGGGTGCACCAGGTGATGGGCAGCCTTCAGCCCTGCCAATGGCTGGATTTGCTCAAGGCTTCTGTGTTGCCAGCAAAGCTAAAGGATTCCCTGAGAGGATTGTCTCCCTGGTGCATGGTTTGAACTACTTTCCCCCCTTGCAAACACGGGTGGGGTTACATATTTGTTGGGACTCTTTACTGTGACAGTAAATAGGTCCTCAGTCTTGTCTGTTCAGCTTGGAAAGGGGGCACTTCCCCTCCAGTTGGCTGTTTTCTACTAGATGAGAAAAATGAAGTATGCCTTGAGGAAGGGTGTACATAGGTGCCTAAATGTTCATCTCTGTACAACTTTGAATTTCCAACTTGTACAGCAAATTACCTGTAAAATATGAGTATGAGAGTGATTCCGGCACAAGGCTTAAAGCTGCAGTCTAGCTCCACTTTTTTTCCACCTCTGAAACCAAATAAAGACTATGTAACTGTATATTCCAGATCTAATCTTATTTATTTTTTCCTATGATTATTTATTTGCAAGGGCTCCTTTTGTTATTTGGCTTTGGGATTGCTGGGAATGATGCATGGAGAGTACTGCAGCTTTAAGATACTGGCTTTAAAAAGAGCCTGGGATAGTTTTCAAGCTGCTCGGCAGATAGTCACTTCAACCCAAGATCTTTATGCTGAATACATAAGACTGTGTAAATCCAACACCCTTCGGAATGTGATAAAGATGACTCGATTCCTAATTTTTCCTACTCGGAAAAGGTTGAATGCAGAAGCTGGTGGGGTTTTGTTTCCTCTGCTGTCTCTTGTTTCCAGGCTCTGTGGAAAGCTCCTGTTAACTTCTAGTTGCTGCTGCCCCCTGCTGCTGACAGCTCCCGGCAGCTGTCACTCAACAACCAAGTAAGAATGTACAGATGAATTTTCAAATAAAAGCTGAAACATCTCCCGTGTACATGTGTCTAGTGCTTGTATCTGGCACAGGTGCAGTGTGGTGTCAAACACTAGGGAGAAGTGGCTTCATTCCCATCAGCGGGCTGTGGATCCAGGCACTAGTGCCTTCCTTCTCATCTAGACTGTAAACGTTGTGCTTGTTGCTTAATGCTTGGACTGAAGAGTATGACTGCAGTATAGGAGCATATGAAATTCCACAAAGTATGTGACTGGGAGAATGAGACTTCCCTGAACCAAGGGTGAATTCCTGATTCTGATGGTGCTGCCCTATTGCAGAGTGGCTGCAGCTGCTGGCAGGATGCACAACCTTCATGCGAGCAACTCGAGACTCTCAGAAAAGTGGCTGGTGAATTATGCTTCTATCTGGCCAAGTGCTCTGACAGTTGAGTTGCAGCCCTGCTAGGGGTGCTTCACTGCAGCCTTCTGTACCTCAAATGTGCCAGAGATCAAATCAATCTCCATTTAGGATCCTCTACTTTTGGAGCTTGGCCTCTTCTCTTTTCCAGAAGGTTCCCAGCAATGAACTCACGTGGTTCAGAAATACTCTCCTATATCCCATCAGCAGCAATGGGGCTCTGGATGCTGCTGTTGAGGTGGCTGAATAACTTCTTGTTTTGGATTACTTGATGGTACCTTGTTCCTTGCACAGCTTGGTAGCAAGTGTTAAAGGCCTGCCCCATCCTTGCAGAAAGTTTTTTCTAGTGGCTATGCTTGTGCCTTCTGGACAGGTGATTGAAAATAAATGTTTTTTTCTTACAGGATTTGTGCTGCCCATTAATGGGAGAGCCCTGCTGGGGCTGTTGGCTCTTTGGTGATGGGCTGTTTGAGAAGTGGAAGAGGCAGAGAACAAGCAGAATATTGGAGGGTTGGATAAGCATTTAGGAGTCAACAACTGGATTTATTTCTCAGTAAAAGTAGCTGAAACCCAAAATAATGGGAGCAATTGCTCTATTAGTTACAGTTGTGGGTAGAGTGTGTGATAACACCACTATGGCCTACAGTGTCCCAGTTATCAGTGGAGAATCCTGTGTCCAACCCAACTTTCAGTTTCAAGTAGTTTCCTGAAGCAGGAGCACATTTCTCTGTAAGCTCTTGGCATTTGTGCTTGGAGGGCTATGGAGCACCCAGGGAAAGTACTTTCAGTTTAAGTCAAACCAGATTTAGACTAACAGGAGGCTCTCTATCAGAGCTGCCTTGAGGATGTGTCTTAACAGTCTCAGTTAAGATTATTTCTATGTCAAATT